AGCTGACTCGGCCCCGGCCCCCCATCACAGTCAGGAACAATAATGTGGCCCCCAGAGAAAAAAGTTTGGTGACCCCTGGTATAGGGCGTAGACACGGAGCCGTTTGGCCCCCCAGAGCGTTCCATCCACAGATCTACCCACCTTGGGACCCGTTATCGTTATCCGCGTTTCCCTGTCGGCCTCGTGTGGCCGAACCGTCTATATGATAGAGAACTCTAGCAGATACGACCGTTACCGTTCTCGTGTGGCTCAAGCCTAAGACTCATTCCTCCACCACTTTATACACAAATGGACATAAGGTGTATGCTCTCAGTTTGTGACATCGTTACTGGTTGGTTTCTCCGTACCTGGGAGATGCGCAGCTGGCAGGCGGCCAGCTCGTTCTCGTTCTCGTCCATCTTCTTGTTGCTCTCCGACTGGGTTCCCTCCAGCTGCTTGCAGCGCTTCACCATGGTCTTCACCTCTGTCTTCATCTTGCTGATGTAGAGACGGGCCACAGTGAACTCCTCGTCTATCAGGCCGCTGCCCTCGTGTTGCTGGAAGAGCAGAGGGGGAACGTTAAAGAGGCATGGAGGAGCAGATGTAGAAACAAAAGAGACAGATGGACTGTACTGGTTGTACAAAATGTGAAACATGGTAAGCAGTGGTGGAAAGTTACTAAGTGCATTTACTCAAGAAAAACATTCAGGTACTTTACTAGATTATTTCTTTTTTTTGCCACTTTATAAACAGATAACAGTTATCTGAACACTTTAGTCACTTTGCATGTTCATACAATTAATAAACAATGAATACACAAATAGATTCTGATGTACCATTTTGAATTAAAAAACCTAGCGTCATAAAAAGTAATCAGTCAACTTCATAATCTCTAATCTCCAATTATAATCCTGTGATAGAATGCATATCATTCAGAAAAATGGTCTTTCTGCACAATGAGTACTTAAAGTGTATTTAGAAGCTAATACATTTGTACTTTTTATTCAGGACTTTACTTTTAAAAGGTCACCTATCATGCTATTTTTAGGCAATAGCATAGGTCTCAGATATATACAAAAATATAAAAAACATGTCTATTAAGTGTTTTGCTCAAAATACCAAAGAGATCACTCATTCTAGCCATGCCTCATATCCCTCTATTTCACTTCCTGTTTCAAAAGTGCTGATTCGGGGTATAAAGCTTCTTTTTTTTTTTTAAAGAGGGGGCTGATCTCATGCGGGACCCGGCAGCTACTGTCTAAACTAAATACTGCCGTGATGAAACGCCATATCATGGATTATCAAGGATTATNNNCGAACTCGACACGGCGCCTTAATGCCGAGAACGACCCTCCGGCCACAAAACATTACATGAAGACCTGTGCTCCGGGCGCATTTTATCTTCTTCTTGAGTAAGCACTTTAAAAATCCACTATAGCCTCACGAGGACTCGATACACACAACCCTTCAGACTTTCTACCTGTTTCTTTCCCTCTGAGCAACTGACAGTGACTGTTGCATCTCTTGGTAAATCATTTCTCTTACTTGGATGGTTAGCTTGAAAAACAGTTTGTGGAACTGAAATGCCTGGAATCATGAGATCGACCAAGCTCCTGCTCACCCTGAGCCCAGCGCTGTATCCCACTGAGCTATTTCATTTGTTTAAAGTCTCAGGTTGTTTGTGATTATGTCACAAGAAAATGTAAAAAAGAATTAGGAACAAAGTTATTGTGCGTGCATCCAATCAAACTATCCTTGTAAGTATGTCACTACAATTGTGCCACCAACATTTTAAATGAAAAATCTTTTTTTTCCTCTATGTTTTTTTCACCCATTTTGGTGTTTTTACCTGAAAACCTCTGTGTCAGCTCGCAAAGTCATCCCGGAGAGCGTAGTAAGGCTCGCGCTTCATTTCTTCTGTCCATGATCATTAGTTGGTGCATGGACTGAGTTTATTGAAGCATGCTCAAGTTTTGTGGCTCAAAGTTGTGTCCTGTGTGACTCGCTTCTCGGTGCAAGTAGATTGTGTTCGTTTAGATATTTGTGCTCTGTCTGCTCATCTCTGTGAGTGTTTCTTCTCAGGAACTTGCTGGGGTGAGGTTCTGTATGCTTCCCCCATGTACGTATGGGCCGCCGCCATGAACTTCTCCGTGTCTCACTACCGAGGCTGACGTCTGTGTCTATGTCCGCTCTGTGTAGGCTATCGCCGTTATGATTGTGAAGGCGTGACCTCTGTGTGTAGAAGAACGATGTTGCTCGGTCCGCTCGCTATCATGCGCGCGCATATATGGTTGTGAGTGTGTAATATGTTCATGATGTCAGTGTTGACTGCTCTGTGTGCATAGATCTGTGTTCTGCACTCTAGTGTGTGTGCTCGGAGCGCTCTCGTCTCAGTGTTGGATATACTTTGATCCATTTCCTTCTTACTCTCTATGCCTCTCATTTAAGTATACTGATGCGAATGATCATAAGGTTTGATACCTAGCTCCATAGTCTTGTGCTGACATTGGACACTGTTATGGTGTATGTATATAGTGGGAGAATCGTAGAATCCTTTATCAAGTCCTCTACCTCTGTTTTTGTCACTTCGCGCGCTACGGAGGCACTCTGTTCATCCATGTTTGTATGACATATATCCCTCACGTTCTACAGGCACGCTGTGTGGACTAGAAGAGGATCGCGAACTGATCCTTTCAGTGATTTGCGTATGTGAGACTCTCGCTCGCTCTCTCCCTCGTCGCTCGGCCTCGCCCTCTCGTGTAGGAGGATGCTTCCATGAGAGAGTGCCCCTGACGCCGTTCTCCATTCGAGGCAGACCGGATCGCCCCCTGTTAAATGTGTCTGTTCCATTATGAGCTGTGTGACTCTCTCTTGGCCCACACTCTCGTTGTTATCTCCAGATGTGCTCTCTCGAGACAGAGAGCTCGTCAAAGAGCAGGTCGCACTTCTGATGGTCCTAATTAGACCAAATCGTCGAGACACTCTCTGTGCTTGGTCCTCACGGCAATGTGTCTCGCATGTTGACCTTTGTTTAAACTGAACTAGAATATAGGGAAATTATAATAGTAAGCCATTATTGCAGATGTATATTTGTCCTGAGATGCTGTGCCTCGTAACTACATATACCACTGGAAAACACCCAAGTAAATGTAGACCTCTGCTCTTCTTTAAATCTGGATGTTTTTAATTATCCACTTGCTCCCTCTAAGAATCAAACTCACCACCTCTGGTCCTTTCTGATCCCTTCTCATACCCTTCCTGAGCTAAACGCCTGAGCACTCTGGTCAGTTTTCTGGGTAGGAGTGTTCTTGGTAGAGTTGTGAACAAACGTTCAAAGTGGGAGAAAGTAATAGTATAGTATGTAACGGGATTGTCACCCACCACCAAGATGGTTAATGTCCAAATGTTCTCTTTGCTTTCATTGATTCCATTATAATCGGGTGCTTTGGACCTTTAAAAGGTCCCTGCAAATGATAGGCATTGGAACCCTCACCCCTGTTCTTTCTAAGGCAGTGTTTTATCCCTGTTTGAGCCATTCTGAACTGGGGTTGACTCTGTGGTCGGCTTTGGTAATCTAATTCTCACTTTGGGTTCTTGGACTTCAAAAAAAAATGTTACCGGGGTGCGGGTGTTATTATTTGTGAAAAATCCACTGCACTTCATGAGGATCGATCCGGACTGCAGTTCTTGCAAGAACATTCCTTCCATGCTATTGAGTCTGGAGAAGGTCTCTGGTAGGGAGTTTGTGTCACGACATCTGCGTGTTTGTTCATTATTATGGCGTGTTGGACTTTCAAACTAAGTATCGACACCACAACATTCAGCTTCTTAGCTGAGCTTCTCATAGGTCCATGAGATATGGAAAATCTCATAGAAACATATATAACCTTTCAAAGGTAAATGTCTTTGTGGTCGGACCCAAGTAGGAACAACACACCAAACCCTCAGCTCTACAGACCACCATCTTCCACTCTGAGCTATATGCTGGAACAACCACTTCACAGTTGTTAGGGGACCCATTTGTTCGTTCTTCCTGGTGGGAAAATTGGATTTATAAAGTTGTACTTGCCCTAATAATCAAAACACCACACCTCCAGGATTTCTACCCACATCTATACTCTATCGTATGATCCAGATGCTTTCACACATTTAATGTTAGAGCTTTTTGATTTCTTCCTCTTCTTTGGTGTTGGATCTAAGGATACTTGATTAAACATATTGCACCGTGGGGGAGTTGATCACACCTCATGCTTTTCTGAGGGCTCTTCTTTTTATCACACTGAGCTAATCCCACCTGGACAGGCAAGTGGGTTACATAAAATTACAGCTAGTATGCAATAAGAGCAAACTGCATGAAAATAAGTCATTAGGTTTAGAGTGGAGCCAAAAAGTCCAATTACCTGAATAGACATTGAACTCATAACCCTAAAGCTTACAACGAGCAAGTTTGCATTAAAATGTTCTTAGTAGGCTTATCTTAGTACGCTGAGGAGTGAACAATAATGTAATACAAACAATCACCTCTTAAACTTTATTGCACGGTCATTTTATTTCCAAATGCAGGTTTTTAGGGCTTGTGAACACAGAGTATGAATATAGAAATGAGGCATAGAGGATCAAATAAAGCAGCAGTCTTGAGGCCTATTTTAACACATTTTTTGAGCAGCATAAAATACAAAGCATGAAAAACATCCTTGAGGGGTCATATTGACATAATAATATTAATTATAATAATAATGGCAAAAAGTTGCATGTGATCAATGCAAATCAATACAGGCGTGAACAAATACATAGGCAACAAAGTGAAACAACTTAAGAAGTGTGCTGCTGCATATCTTTGCAGGAACACATGCCATCTAAATGCAAGGAGCATTTGAGGTGTGGTTAAAAAATAGTTTATGCAATTAATAACCAAATATTTAAAGAGCAGAGACTCAATGCAGACAGCGAAGCTTACATTTAGACAAAAAGCAAAAAGCAGAGCCAACATCAGATCCTTCACAATAAAAGCACAGTTCTTAACATGTTAATTCAAACTGTAACTAGTGGATAATTAATAATTAATGACCTTAATCTACCAGTGCTTGTGTAAATCTGGAGCACATTTGTTAAAGTTAATATACCAACTGTAACATTAAGTGTGAATCAAAACTAAAATCATGGTTATGTAGGTATGTAGCGGCCGTAGAAGCTGTCCTTTTGTATGCTGTAGGTTTTGGTTTGTAGTCCTTGGCTCACTTCTCAAATCTCTTCAATTCAACAAGAATGCCTTTCATGTTTTTACCAGCGAAGGATTTCTCCCAGACGTACACCTCGATGATCCCTGATCCCGGACCCCACCGCGGATCCTGTCGTCAGTGAGAACGGAAGAAAAAGGAAATGTAAGTTTGATGAATACTGCAGAAATTGTTTATTAAAAAACAATGGGGACAACTTTTAAAAGGAGCTTCTATGTGAAAGCTAAATTGGATCCTATTTTGAACATTACTGGTTACAAGGTTCTTCCACTTACAGCTACTTAAAGTAAAGTTATGTCACGTCTGATAATTGGGACTTC